TTCTCATCTAATTGTGCAATTAGTTTTTTTTTAAATCATATTTAGTACTTTCATGCACGTGTGCTTGTAAGATTGATGCTGATTTGACATCGCAAGCAAAATCTTTTGGAATCTAAACATGCCCCGAGTGTCCCCAAAAACTCACATCCTCCAGCAGGTTCCAGCCTAATTACCAGCAGTGCACTAATGTTGTTGCTAACTACTCCTACCAGTATGTACACTCCTGTATTGGGAGGACAGGGGCAGATGAAATGACGGTTCTTTTTTATCCTGCTCCCTCTTTGGTTCAGTAACTTCTAAGGGGGTGTTATGTTTCCTGGACTAAATTTTAGTCCATGTCACATCGAACGTTCGGATGCTATTTAGGAGAACTAAATATGAGTTAATTATAAAACTAATTACATAGATGGAGGCTAATTTACGAGACGAATTTATTAAGCCTAATTAATCCACCATTAGTACATATTTACTGTAGCACAACATTGTCAAATCATGGACTAATTAGGCTTAAAAAATTCGTCTCGCAAATTAGCCACAATCTGTGCAATTAGTTATTTTTTTCGTCTATATTTAATACTTCATGCATGTGTCAAACATCCGATGAGATAGGGACTAAAATTTCCCTGTAGGAACCAAACACCCCCTACATACTCATGACACCATGTGAGTAAATCGAGAAGGTTTGCAATATTCTTTTGTTAGAATATGATATTGGGTGATAGACACTACTTAATATTATTTTACAGTGAGATATTGGGTGATAAACGCCACATAATGTTATTTTTTGTTAGAGAATAATTAGCTCTTAGGCACTATATGTATTAAAACAATAATTTTGAGGAGATGAAAGAGAAGTTAAAAATGGTATTATGCCCCTTGCTTTTCTCCATAAGCTTTAATAGTTATCTAAAAGAATTCATAACTTTTGTATATAAAGTCGGATGAAGATGAACTTTATATAAAAAAAGTAGAGCTCAATGAGATCTACAACTTTATAGATGATAATTTTTTTGATTTAAAACTATTTAGAATGGCAGAAGTTCTTTTTAAATTCATAAAATTTGAAATTCAAATTTAAAATTTTCAAACGGACTTGAGATGTTGACATAGTCTATACAAAGCTGCAATTATCAATACCATCTATAACTTTATATTTTACAAATTTTATATGAAATATCAACTCTCCGCCCCAAGGTAAGTGCACTTATAAGTATGGTCCACCTAGGTACAGTAGGTTACTTTCTCTACTTCTTAAATCCAATCATTACATGCTAAAATAGGTTTCGATAGGGGTAAAATGTAATTTTTAAGTAATATTGATCACATTTACACTCTAGAAAATCGGATCTTTATTTTTTGAGTAATGACGAGCTGCTCCTCTCAGCATTGATTGGCGAAGCCGCGGGTAAAATGTAATTTTTAAGTAATATTGATCACATTTACACTCTAGAAAATCGGATCTTTATTTTTTGAGTAATGACGAGCTGCTCCTCTCAGCATTGATTGGCGAAGCCGCGAAGGTTGTTTCGCAGTTGTAGCTGGGGCTCGATCACTGTATTAATTGTATTGTTGCCTTGTTGGATCTTCAGCAGCCAGTAGTGAAGAATCTGGTAAAAGCCTGCAAGAGCTTTTTGGAGCAACAAGACATGGCGAAAGTTGGTGAAAGACATGAATGATCTGAAGAGGGATGCTTTTGTACTCCCAGCTTGGCCTACAAAATGCAGTACTGGTAGATCTCCTCTATTTTTTCCCCTTGTGATTTTCCACTCGTTTCAGCATGAAAGATTTTGCCATTTTGGCAGGTGTAAGGCCAAACAGGGCCACTGCTGCACTTTGTACGCACAGCAGATGGGATCTGACTACGGTGCTGTGGCAAAGAGGAACACTTGTGTGCCGCAACTTGCTCTGAACACAAGAAAGTAGGGATATGGATATGTTTTTTTTAATTACAAGTATCTTTTTCAGTGTTCCAGTCTGATCCTTGGCCCTTTGGGGCCCATCCGGCGAGGCAGGCATGCCATTCCGCGCTCTGTTCTCTTAAGTATTTTTTCAGTCAACGAATATTTTTTTCTTATAACAAATCAGTCAATAGTATTTTCAGTCATGCCTTATCAGCTAAACCAACAGGGCTATGTCTGCAACAAGAATGCAGAGGACGCCGAATCAGATAAACCGTATGTCAATAGAATACTGCATACCTTCACGAACCGTAACATCTAACATACCAGGGCTACTTCTTTCCGCACAGGCCCTATATCGTAAGTGGGATGGTGATATCTTCGCCAATGTAGGATCTTTTGGGACGTAAAAAATTTACAAAAATCATATGCAAATTTTATAAGAATTAATTTATTTTTATAGAAAAATTATACCTATCCCATACCTCCTTTTATCTCAATCCATTTCTCTTTCCCTATCCCAGATATATACTGGTACAGTTGAGATTACAAAAGCTGCTGTGAAGAAAAAAAAAAGAATTGTAACTGTAGGAGGGTGCGTATGTATTTGTTGCAGAAAATGAATATTTATGCTGACATTGGAGCACTTATCCGGAGAAAATGGCATACAAGGAATTTCTTAAATGAATATTCCAGATAAATTATTCCCATATTCTACACGTGCTGATCTTCCATTGCTTAGTCCACTTAAAATGTCACGTCAGGTAGAAATTTCATAATTATGGGCACTGAACGTGATCTTATTAACAATGTCACGTCAGTAGGGGCATTGGGACATGATTTCAACAAGAACATTCCTACAGTATTTCTTGCACCTTCAGAATCACAGGGGCTGATTAGCTAGCATGCAAAATGGCCAACGGAATGATGGCACACAGCCCATCCAATAGCTAGCTGATGATGCTTGTCTTTTCTTTTTCTTTTTTTTTACCTGAAGACCGGTGTCCTCGTCCTCTTTGACCGGCAAAGAAAGCCTGCCTCTCATCGAACTGCATGCTTTGCATCATGACGACGAGGAGCGTCTCTGGCATGGCATTACACGAACCACGACTGACGACCCTACATGCTAGCGCCGAGATGCTTGCTTTTGTTTTCTTTTCCAGATTATTCATTTTTTTCAGGCAAGGTTCAAAATATTGCGTGTTTAAATTGACCCCACTGTTTTCGCAGCAAATTAATAAATGGTTCTTTATGTACCACATATATAAAGGTACTATTACTACCATGTTATATAAAGGACCCAAAATGCGCAAAAGCAGAATCAAGAATTGAGGCGAGACGAAATGCGATTGTTGAACAAGAGTATCCTAAAGCCATAATTGAGTTTGGTGCGTGCTTGGGTTGGGAAGGGATCACCAGTCTCTTCTATCACTCTTGATGGGCCATTAGCAGGCCATTCATGCAAGGGATCTAATCATCACAATAAGCATGCCAATATGTAGTGTTACTGTTTTTTTTTAATGTATTTGTGCACCAATCCATTTGGTCACCGTTTTCTACTTGTAGAATGTCTACTGTGGCATGTAACTTTTGATAGTCACACGAAAGCACAATTGCACTAACAAAATACATTTAAATGTATTTGAGGCGCTAGGGAAAAAAATGTATAGAACACACAAATTTCAGCAAAGTTGTACAGCACAATGCAAAGGAGCTGTGACTGTAACACGATCTATGCAGAGCAGATATATATAGTACTATCATGGATGAAGCATGGAGCCACAGTTAGCGATGTATATAGTCAGCCGTAACATCTGGGACAGGAAAGTATAAGTTCCAGCAGCGATGTTACAGGAAAGTATATGTTCCGGCAGCAATATTTCTTGCCTGACGGATTAATACAATCCATAATTTTACATGTCAAACTTTGGAGATGGTTCCAGAACAAATCGCCCTTGAGAATCACACATTCCAGGAAGAAAATAATCAGTAATTACAAGGGCTCATAATTGCTTTCCTGGTACGCTTTGCCATGCACAAACCCTCTGTGATGTGTAGCAATAGTTCAGAAAAGCAGCGGGGACAAATGATCAGTTGTGATCCACCATCAGATTTAGACGATAATATAGATAGATATTAAGACAGATCGCATGATTCTCAGAAGCAAATGGTAGAATCTAATTATTTGTCTTCAGAATTGTACCATATAACCTCAACAAATCAGGGGAAAAGGACAAACAGGAGAAATAAGACACTGGAGCCGATCATCTACAGATGAACGCCATCACTGCTAGAGTTCTAGTAGCTGTTAACGTCTTGCATGACATGGCTAATCTTTCATTCAGATGCTCCCAACCATGCGGCTCTGTAACCTCAAAGTCAAGAGAGTAGACCTACCAAAGAATACAGTGTTAGAATAATCAAAGAGGGATTCGAGCAGAGTTAGTTGAATATCTTCTTGAGCATGTGAAAAAACAAGCTATTCCTTCTGTACGTTAATGCAAATTTAAAATCTATCAAAAGGGGGGTATACAAATGATTTAACCCAGTGCATTTTTTCCAAGAAAAAACAGACACAAATTTCTGCTCTAGTATTCAGGCGCTAGACAAATTTGCCTGTGCTAGTATTCAGGTGCTAGCTACAGCATACAGAGTACACCAAAACAAAAACAAAAACAAAATCAGTATAATAAGTCTATCAAACTTGATAGTTTTTATATATGCTATTAATGTCAAATTCATCACCAAACTAGTATAGAAAGTAGATCGCCGAAAAGCACATATCGATGGACATAGAACAATATCTAATTTTAGACAAAAAAAAGAACAATATCTAATTAAGCCTTTTTCTGGATTCACTATATCCAATTGATATGTGATGGAAGGGTCAAATACTTCACTTTTCAAAAAGAGTGATACACATGGGATACACGATTGTCATATAAGGATACACGAATGGGAGGTCAATGCTGGAGAATTTCATCTCACTTGTATCAAAGCATTAGCGAATAGCCCTTGCCATAGAACATCCAGTACAAGCAGCCGTGCGCATAGTAGGGCATGTTTTCAATAAATTTATAGCCATTAGGAAAACAGATGGTGCTAATAATGAGAAAATTTGATCATGTTGACACTCGGGTGGATAACAAATGGATCCGTCTGTGTGTATGAACGTGGGTCCAGTGTCCCGATGTTTCTTAGTCCCATTTTTGTAATTGGCCCGCTAATAATACCTCGCCACGTCTGGTTGCAGGAAGAGAAGACGAAAGCAACGACCTTGTCTTTGAGCTGCACAGTGCAGATAACTCTGAACGATTCCTCCTCGTCATTCTCGCCGGCTGGAGCCAAAACGGGTAACAAATGCGTGGTACCAGTGCGTGGGGTGGAGGCCATTAGCTCGTCGGGTATGCGGGGAATCTTGACGTACCGGTGACGCAGGGGGTCGCAGACTAGGAAATCCTCGAATTGGGTTTTGGTGGAGGTGCGCCCGCCGAGGAGGACGCGGCCACCGAGGGCGTGGCGAAAGCACCACCCACTGGCACTGGGGTTGGGAAGGAAGGAGAAGGTGAAGTCGGCGGCTTGCTCGAGCGCGCGGGCTTCCGGAGCGGAGCGGTGGGGAGGATCGACGGGGACGAATTGGTGTCTGTCCATACTGATGAACCCGAGGACTGCAGGGGAGCGGCGGGACCGGAAGCGGCGGAGGAACCGGCGCTCGGAGACGACGCGGCGGTCGAGGCGCAGGAAGATCTCCTCGCAGATCTCGTCAGGGAGGACGGCCTGCGCCGCCGGCCGTCTGGCGGACCGCCGTCGCGTCCGGCGTCGCGCCGACATCGATGCCATCCGCACGGTCGGCCGGCTGTGGGAGAGGAGCGGACTATGCAGCGGAGACTGCAATTTGGGATTTTGGAGTTCGGTGGTACGGGGCTCGCCGGAGTATGGTGTCCGCCAACACTCGTGTTAGTTCCCATCCCAGTTTGCACACTTCACCACTCAGCGAAGAAAAAAGTCACCTTTTTTATAATAAAAAAAGACGCAGCTGCTGTAGCTTTTTACAAGGGCCTGTTTGGTACAGGTGCTCCTAAAATTCTTGTCACATTCTATATGAGCTCCTAAAATTCCTGTCACATAAAATGCTTGACATATACATGGAGTATTAAATATAGACTAATTACAAATCTTTTAAGCCTAATTAGTCCATGATTTGACAACGCGGTGCTACAGTAAACATGTGCTAGCGGCAGATTAATTAGGCTTAAAAATTTCGTCTCGCAAATTAGCCTCCATCTATGTAATTGGTTTTATAATTAATCTATATTTAATGCTCCTTATTAGTATCTAAACATTCGATATGACATGAATTTTAAGAGCGACTAAAGAACCAAACACCCCGCAAGAGGGTAAGTTTTACATTTATGAAGACAGTAAAAACTTTGCACAACAAACCTCCGACCAAATTTTGTTCTCTTGTTGGTTTCGATCCACGACTTATCGGTCATGATAATATTTTCTCTCACAACAAACCCAAGACTGGTAGTGGTTTATTAGCCTGAAACCAACCGGTGAAGTGATTGAACATACAACTTGTGCTGCCGTCACCATCCTTGCCTGTCGCGCCTCCTTTCTTGGCCACTGCCTCCTTGCCCTTTCCTTCCTTCGGCCCGTCGGTCTGTCGTAGAAAGCGTTTGAGGAGTTCACAGTTCTTGTAAAGATGCTTGACGGGGTAGGCGTGGTTGGTGCATGGGCTCTTCATGAGCTTGTCAAGGTGGTCAAGCTGACCCTGCTGGGGCTGCTTGCTCGCACGATCGACCGCGGTGACCAAAGCGGAGTTGGTCGGTCGGCGCCGATCCTTCTTGTTCTTTTTTCCCTTTTGCGTAGAGGAGCCCTCACGCTTGGCCTTGTCCTTGTCCCGGCCTTCGTTAAAGACCGCTCCGACTGCCTCCTCGCCGGAGACATGGTTTGTGGCGATGTCGAGCGGGTCGCGGGTGGTACGGGGCTTCAGACAGCCGAGCTTGTGGATTAAGGACTCATAGGTTGTTCCGGAGAGTAACGCGCTGATGACGTCCGCGTTAACGACATCAGGAAGGGAGTTGCATTGTTTTGAGAACCTACAGATGTAATCCCGCAGGGACTCGTTGGGCTCCTACTGGCAGCTCTTGAGGCCACCTACCACAATTCTAATTTATATAGTCTCTATCAACACAATGGCTATGTCACTACACTAAGTGTACTCTCAAAGGCTAACTAAAGAGCCACACTAACCAAACTAACAAGCTCTCACGACTAGCTATACAAAAGAGCTTGACAACTAGTTTACGGTAATGTAAAGAGAGATAGAGTAAGATGGTGATACTACCAAGTCGAGGAATGAACCAATCAAACACAAGAATGAAAACCAATCACCTCGGAATCAAATGATGACACAATGATTTTTACCGAGGTTCACTTGCTTGCCGGCAAGCTAGTCCTCGTTGTAGCGATTCACTCACTTGGAAGTTCACGCGCTAATTGACATCACACGCCAAACCCTCAATAGGGTGCCGCACAACCAACATAAGATGAGGATTACACAAGTCATGATCAATTCACTAAAGTACCTTTTGGCTCTCCGCCGAGGAAAGGTCAAGAACCCCTCACAATCACCACGATCGGAGCCAGAGACAATCACCAACCTCCGCTCGACGATCCTTGCTGCTCCAAGCCGTCTAGGTGGCGGCAACCACCAAGAGTAACAAGCGAATCCCGTAGCGAAACACGAACACCAAGTGCCTCTAGATGCAAACACTCAAGCAATGCACTTGGATTCTCTCCCAATCTCACAAAGATGATGAATCAATGATGGAGATGGGTTGGAAGGCTTTGGCTAAGCTCACAAGGTTGCTACGTCAATGCAAATGGTTAAGAGGGTGAGCTAGAGCCGGCCATAGGGCTTAAAAAGAAGCCCCCACAAAATAGAGCCGTTGTACCCCTTCACTGGGCACTACTCGGGGTGACTGGACGCTCCGGTCAGATCGACCGGACACACCCTGCCAGCGTCTGGTCAACAGATGGCTGCCACGTCATCCCTCTCTTCAAATACCGAGTGCCCAATCTCAACGGTCAAATGATGACCGGACGTAGCACAGTGCCACGACCGGACGTAGGACCCCAACGCCCAGTAACTTCCAGTAAGGTTCCAGCTACGACCGGACGCGTCAGTTGGATCATGACCGGACGCAGGAGCCCAGCTGAAAGGTCCTAATGGCTAGAGGGGGGTGAATAGCCTAATAAAATTCTACAACAACACTTAACAAAATGTGTTAGACAATTTTGCGGTGAAGCGAGTGTTGTGCTAGCCTACTAAAATGCAAGCCACCTACCACAATTCTATTTCGAATAGTGTATGTCCACACAATAGCTATGACACTTAGCTAAATTAGTGTGCTCTCAAAGACTAACTAAAGAGCAACACTAATCAAACAAACAAGCTCTCACAACTAGCTACACTAAAGAGCTTGATAACTAGTTTGCGGTAATGTAAGAGTGAGCAAGAGAGTTATACCGCCGTGTAGTGGTAGGAACCAATCAATCACAATAATGAATACCAATGTAGACCAATCACTTCGGAATCAAATGATGAACACAATAATTTTTACCGAGGTTCACTTGCTTGCCGGCAAGCTAGTCCTCGTTGTGGCGATTCACTCACTTGGAGGTTCACGCGCTGATTGGCATCACTCGCCAAACCCTCAATAGGGTGCCGCACAACCAACACAAGATGAGGATCACACAAGCCACAAGCAATTTACTAGAGTACCTTTTGGCGCTCCGCCGAGGAAAGGTCAAGAACCCCTCACAATCACCATGATCGGAGTCGGAGACAATCACCTCCTCCACTCAATGATCCTTGCTGCTCTAAGCCGTCTAGGTGGCGGCAACCACCAAGAGTAACAAGCGAAATCCGCAGCGAAACACAATCACCAAGTGCCTCTAGATGCAATCACTCAAGCAATGCACTTGGATTCACTCCCAATCTCACTATGATGATGAATCAATGATGTATATGAGTGGGAGAACTTTGGCTAGGCTCACAAGGTTGCTATGTCAATGAAAATGGCCAAAGATGTGAGCCACAGCTGGCCATGGGGCTTAAATAGAAGCCCCAACGAAATAGAGCCGTTGTACCCCTTCACTGGGTACTCTGCGCTCTGACCGGACGCTCCGGTCCACTTGACCGGACCCTGGACTCAGCGTCCGGTCCATAGATGGACGCCACGTGTCATCGGCTTAAAACGCTGTTCGTCAGATTCCAACGGCTATGACGCTGATCGGACGCTCTGGTTAAAACTGACCGGACGCTGGAACCTCAGCGTCCGGTCGAGTACAGTAAGGGTAAAAACCTGGTTTTCCTCGACCGGACGCGTCCGGTCCACCTCGACCGGACAGAGCCCAGCGTCCGGTGGTAAATCCTAGCCACTGTACCGACAGTCAACGCGACCGGATGCAGGCAGTCAGCGTCCGGTGCTTCTGGATTCAGCGTCCGGTCACTGGACCGACGCTGGCATCAGCACTATTCTCACTTCTATCTTCTCCACCCTTGCTCCAATGTGCCAACCACAAGAATTTGCATCCGGCACAATAGAAAATAGGCATTCCATTTTTCCGAAAGCGCCGAATCCTACAAATACCACCTCCTTTGTAAATGTGCCAACACCACAAAGTGTATCACCTTGTGCACAAGTGTTAGCATATTTTCACAAACATTTTCAAGGGGTTTAGCACTCCACTAGATCCTAAATGCATATGCAATGAGTTAGAGCATCTAGTGGCACTTTGATAACCGCATTTCGATATGAGTTTCACCCCTCTTAATAGTACGGCTATCAATTCTAAATGTGATCACACTCTCTAAGTATCTTGATCACCAAAACAAAATAGCTCTTACAAATTATACCTTTGCCTTGAGCCTTTTTGTTTTTTTCTCTTTCTTCTTTCCAAGTCGAAGCACTTGATCATCACTATGCCATCATCTTTATCATGCTGTGATCTTCATTTGCTTCACCACTTGGAGTGTGCTACCTATCTCATGATCACTTGATAAACTAGGTTAACACTTATGGTTTCATCAATTCACCAAAACCAAACTAGAGCTTTCACCAGCGTCCGGTCATTTCCAGTAAGCCTCCACTCGCGACCGGACACGTCCGGTCATGCCCGACCAGACTCACCCAACGTCCGGTCACTCACTGTCTCCTCTGCGCGCTGCCACATCAATAGGACCGGACGCACCCCGCCAGCGTCCGGTCATGAAGTGACCCAACGTCCGGTCGAAGACCGACGCCAGCATCTTCACTGCTTCCACTGACCGGACTCACCGGTCCAATTGAGGCCAGCGTCCGGTGCACTCTGTGAAACCCTGTCTTTTCTGTACAGTGCGCCGGTGGCACCGTCGGACTGTCCACACTCTACGGGCGGACACTCCGTCGGTGAAGTTTCTTACCCTTGCTCCCAAGTGCTAAACATAATGTGTATCACCTTTGTGCATGTGTGTTAGCATATTTTTCACAAATATTTTCAAGGGTGTTAGCACTCCACTAGATCCTAAATGCATATGCAATGAGTTAGAGCATCTAGTGGCACTATGATAACCGTATTTCGATACGAGTTTCACCCCTCTTAATAGTATGGCTATCAAACCTAAATGTGATCACACTCGCTAAGTGTTTTGATCACCAAAATAAAATGGCTCCTACCACTTATACCTTTGCCTTGAGCCTTTTGTTTTTCTTTCTTCTTTTCCAAGTCCAAGCACTTGATCATCATCATGGAATTACCATCATCATATCATGATCTTCATTTGCTTCACCGCTTGGAATGTGCTATCTATCTCATGATCACTTTGATAAACTAGGTTAGCACTTAGGGTTTCATCAATTCACCAAAACCAAACTAGAGCTTTCACCCGTCATGCTGAAGATGGTGGAAAGGTGGGCCATCCGATGACCAAAAGCGTGAACGCACAACATCCTCCCCACGGACGGCGCCAACTGTCGGTGCGAAAAGTGACCAACAAGTAAATATTTGTAGTTTTGCCGTGCGTTGTGATCGGATGTGGCCTAGCACTCAATGACACAGGGTTTATACTGGTTCAGGCAACGTGCCCTACGTACAGTTCTAGTTGGTCGGTGACTTTATTCCTGAGCCCAGGTGCTCGAAGTTTGTTGTGGGGTTATAAACGAGTGGGAATAAGAAGAGGGGTGTTAAAGGTCCGGTCGGGCTCTGAACCGAAGGGCTAAGAGTGACGAGAGCTCCAACGTGCACTAAGTATTGGACCGTATGCTCTGTGTAGCTTTAGAGTTCTAGAGCTGTGGAGCTATTCGAGTGCTCAAAATGTCTAAAGCTTAGCAAAGAGAGAGTCGGAATGACCGTCCTCCGTTGGGAGAGAGCGCATCCCCTTTTATAGGTGAAGGGGATGACCTTACAAGTGAGAGAGAGAGAGAGAGTGTGTGCACGTAGTCTTGTTGCCCACGCTATCGGGTACAAGACGGTCGTTGGCGCCTACAATACTGTTTATGTTAAACGCATGTGGCAGGCTTTACCGTGTTCACCTTGTATGTCAAATAACGACGCCCACAACACTGTAAGGCAAATGTCGGCGCCCACAACACTATTTGGGTTCTGACATGCCTGGAAGGTTGCAAAGCACCCTTCTGGCATGGCCTGGCGGTACTGTCCCTGCAGGTGTGCAGGGTACGGTCCTCGATATTGCGGTTGACTTGAGCGCCTTGCCTTATCTGCTTCGCCTGATTCTTAGGTCCTCACCGAGCGGGCGTCCCCGGTCGGTCATTCCCAGTCGGCTCCGACCGTGTCGGTTGGAGGAGAGCTGTAAGCAGAGGTTTGGCGTATTCCCGGTCGGAAAGGCGAGTCGAAGTCGGAAGCGAGCGTCGCCTCTCCTTGGCCAGGCTTTTCGGTCGGAGACTGGATCGCTCTTCCGGCCTGTCGTTAGGTATCTGGGCCGGCCCAGGAGTCGCGCGTTGTTGTAATGCCGTCTGCTGGGCCGAGCTTTTGCTGAGAAGCGGGCCCATCGGGGACCCTGGGTTTATGAACCTGACACCAAGCATCGTGAGGCAGGGCACACATGGGCTCGACCGGTGCTCGCGGTGGCTTCCAGAGCACGGCGGGGCGTCCACTTGCGCAGGTGACGGCCCCGCGGACGCGGGTGGCGGGCGCCACACTTGCCGTGCAGGGGGAGCTCGTCGTCGCCATGGATAAGGGCCAGGCTGCGAATGACGCCTAGGCCCAGACGACGACGTCGTATGCGACCGTGGTGTACGCCAAGGAACGACAACCTCGCCCGCGTCTAGCTCGCCCACCTTCCAGAACGGCGCTCAAGGGCCTTTCAAAAGTTGTAGAGGAGTGGTCGTGTGACGGCGGCTTCGCCGCTGCCGGCGCCGGGCGGAGTTCTCGCATGGCGGCGGAAGCGAGCTTCGCCAAGGGCGGCCGGGAGGAGCTAAGCTCGCCCACATATTGGTAGCGGTGGCCGGGGCGCTGGTCACGTTGGCCGGGGATGCCCCTAGCACTGCGTCGGCCTCTCGAGTGCCATCGATTCGGCCGGGGCAGCGCTGCTACACGGAAGAGAAGAAAAAAGAGGAAGATTTGGGTGACTGACAAACAGACCCCACTGTAGGGCAACATGGTCATTTCATCTGTTTGACATCGTTACAGGTAAAAGTGGACGGAATGGCATGAAAAGCAACAAAGTTTTGCATCATGACATCAGCGTGCGTTCGAACTTTTTAGTAGCCTGTAGGTCAGGACCATCTTTCATAATGGCACACACGTAAAAGGCTCTATAGCAGTGACGCTGAATCACACACCACAGTACATGTTCTGCATTACGAGCACAAGAGAGCAAAAACAATACACTCTGAAACAACGCATTACATTGCGTTACGTTCTAATTGTTTTTTTGGCAATCTTGCTGCTAACACAATAACCTGAGATCCTGAGAATGAAATCAGATCAACGCTGAGCTACTAGGATAGCGAAGGGGAACATTGTTGATCCTCGGATATGATGGGCTGAGTAGGACCACCGTACCAATATTCACCATGATCCGTCCCAGGGATAACACTGTTGTGGTGGAAGGGCCTGCTGAGCAGAAGCAGATGCCACTGAGGCGTCATTGGTGGGGGCCAAGGGAGCTTGCATCTGGCTCTGTGTGCTCCCTTGACCAGATCTTGGGGTACCTGTATCAGACAAGGGATCAGCAGCTGCTTAAAAACTACACGAAGATAATAAGCATACGAAAATTTACCCCTCGATCACTATTTCAATTTTCTTCATCATGTTCAGGAAAATCCAAATTCTTGGTCCAGTGATTACCAGAAAATTCAATTTTCCTTTTCAGAATGTTTTTTTTACCAAATCAACAATTTTATACTTGGAACCGCCCTGATATAGGCTTGTCCACTTTATTGAGATTGAGAGAGGTGTTAAAGAAGAGAGAATGAGGTTTTTAATTGTCCTTGGAAGAGATACCAAATTTGTATCTGAGTTTTAGTACCAATTTTCAGTGGTGCCTTCTAGGTACCTTTCCAAGGATGGTGAAAAGGCTTGAGAGACATACCAGGGATTATAGGTTGCTGTGGTGGTAATGCCATATTGATGTGGCCAGAAGTTAGTCCATATAAGGTGCCATTGCTTAACAAGAAGGGCTGACTCTGGATTATTTCTACATGATCTAAACCTGGTGTCACTGCAACAGAAAAAGAGAAAACGGAAGCAAAGGGATGATGAGCTGCAAGATAGGCAGTTCTGTGCCAGGTGTTTGCCTCGAAGATAATTTTGCAAAATAGGCGCACCGTAGTTGTTAATGTCTGCTTCGTGCTGGAATGCCAATTCGGCGTCTTCGGGGGAGACAAATTGACTCATATTACTCGCGCCTCCAAGGGGGTTTTGACACGGGGCAGCATTAACGAAAGCTGAGAACTGCTCCTGAACAGAAAGTAGGTTCCCTTGATCTGCTATGTCTAAAGACCAGAGCATTAGAAGTTGGTGTGCAAGGCAGCTTGTGCAGAAATTAAAACAGTTTCAGGACTGAAAAAGGTACAATACCTCGGTAGTTATATGTCAAGAAGTGATCAGCAGTGGAGGAACTAGGGCCAGGATCATTACTGTTTGCATTTGCAGATAATAACTCATTGTGGTGATCATCATGGCTAAAGCCTTCAAATGGTAGAACTGGAACACGCCCACCTGAAAGAAGATTTTCTGTATCAGGGTATTGGCATATTGCATAGTACTATACTGCATGTCTCCGTATCAGGGGCCCTTGCATCGCACAACATAGTGTGTTTTGATGATACACAAATAGAGGGCTCTGCAGAAAAGGAAACAATTACAGGACTGAAACAAGCACCTTGATAGTTATGCATGCTGGGGTGATCAGGAATGAAGGATCTGGGAACTGGGTCATTGTATGCATTCAGACAAGATGACTCAATCCGATCTTGGCTCAATCTTTCAGCTGCTGCTGTACCTAACAATTCAAAGAAAAATCGTGAGTATCAGGGTACCATCAAATCCTGTATGTTTGCAGCATAAGAAGAGAAGTAACCAGTATTCCCTAACCATGAACAGATGCGAGGCGAACAGAACAGTTTGGCTGTTCAATTGGCATATAGGATGGACCAGCACCAATACTAGTATATTTATCCACATGAATTGGGTTAGGAGAGTTGTCTGTCATTACATGATCCTCGGGAAGCTTATCCAGTTTAGCATAAGCCCCCTTTTTCAGCTGGTCCACTAACTCCTGCAGCCAAACACACACTACACGTTCACTTCGATGAAGAAAGTGGCAACCGAGTCTAAATATGTTCACATGAAAACTTGTACCTGTTGAGCAAAACTAAAGTTATCTGTCAGAGTGTAAGGACCACCAAAAAATTCTGCCCCTACAAGACAGTGCACACAATTGAAGAAAAGCTTCACGTTTTTCTCTGTGCAAAAAAGTAGTTTCAGCTTGTGCCTGCCTCCGAGAGAGCACTCTCTAGCATGCTTTGTCATTTTCTTCCAGGGCTTGCGTTCCATGTTTACCCTGAGAATCTACATACCGAGGAATGGCGATGATGTCATGTAAATAAACTGACTGAGAGTTATGAAAGAAAATGTTTGAGATTTGATAAAATAAATGTCGAGTTTACTTTGGCAAGGTTACGAGGGTCCTTATTTAAAGCCTTTAAAAAGTCTTCCACAGTAAAGATGTTCTCCTTCTCCAGCCTTTCTGCGTAAACTTTGGCAATCTCCTCCAAACGATGCACGCTATCATTTAGTTTTGGAGGATGACTCTTTTCATTTGCTGTAAAAAGAAAGGAAAATGAGAAAAACTTGCTGTTAGCTTGTCACACATCAACCAAGAACAATTGAATGCATGCTATGAATCTTGGACCATAGCTGTATGTCATAAATGGTCTTTCAACTTTGCCAAGTAATAAAAAGAAATATGGATGGCAACAAACCTACATTTGTTTCTGCGATCCTGCACAACCACAGGGTTCATGACGGCTTGTTGAACCTGGACACCAGATACCTCACCCTCACAAACTCTTGCCCCAATGATGAACTTCCCGCCGCGAGCCTTGCACGACCCTTCTGTGAATTTGATGCTACCAAGATCGCACTGTCCATTCTTAAGCTGGGCTTTTGTTCCTTCACCTCCCAATACATTTCCGTTTCCATCCCGAGAATTGGCTCTATGTTTATTGAACTTTTTAGGAGTCCAACTCTTTGGGGAAGCATGAGGAAAGTCACCCTCAAGGGCGAAGATCTCAATTTGCAGGTTTGAAAGCCCGCCCGATTCGATCATCTTGTCCCCATTAAATATGCCAACCTTAATGGCTGTATTGCTCTCAGATTTTATCTCATCGTCATGGTAAACAGGAGTCTTCAGTCCATTGAGGAAGCGCAGCTGAATGCTCGTGGTTTCGCTCTGGCCTTCAGCAGTGGCCAATCCTGCAGGTTCAGCACTGGTGCCTTCCTGGTTTTCCTCTTGTCTGAAACAAAAAAAAAAAACAAGACAGCATAATTAATTGAGGTTTAGTTACTTACTAATACTATAGTAAAAAACTTTAACGTTTGGACCACCAGGATAAAAAAGAAGACCGCATACGTGAATTGCTCATCATTGAGGAGGTTAGGAGAGGGCCGTGTTATATTATCCTGCATTTGGTGCAAGAAGTAGCAACAATAAGTGAAGAGTGTCTGTCAAATCAGAAGGAAGAAAGCAACAAAACAAAGATCTTGTTTTGACACTCATGACCAAATTTGGGCAAGCAACAACGAATAAAGAATGACACAGAAATAGTGAGAATGCATGTAAACATGGAAATAAGTCCAGACCACTTTGTCGGTGAGATCCTGAATCCGCTCCTCGATTCTTTCCAGTTTGGTTTCTAGTAGTTTTTCCAGTTTGCTGCATCCAATTTGCAAGTCAACCCCCTAACCTCAAATTTCAGGGGTTCTACTGTAAAAACACCGAAGGAAAGGGAAATGGAGTAGATGGATCACCTAAACATGGGATTGGTGAAACGACAAATCTGGTCCCGAACCTGTCCAATCATATATACAAGTATATCAAATACAGTAAGTCTCAGTCAAGTAACAAAGCATGGAATGCTTTCATAATGACACAACTCTTGCTACTGCTTTCTTTTCTTTCAATAAAATGCCTGTAGGGGCCCAAAGCCCCTCCAGTTCCTTCAAAAAAGAAAAGAAAAAGAATGACACAACTCTGATAGTTGATAGAGATGAAACACATGTAGGAAAAAAAACAGCAATCATATTTAAAAGTGCCTACAAATAAACTGCAAGGAGGCGAGCAGAAAGTCAGAAATTAGAAGAAACATTGTCTCGATATTTCCTGTTTATAGTACGTGCCGATTTGAAATAATCTATCTTTTTCATATAAAATTTGCTTAAATTTGTTTGAATTTACTTAAATTTAAGTTGAATTTTATTTGAATTTGGCCTGATGTTTCTGATATTTCCTGTTTATCCCGTTTATCCATGATCCCCGATAAATTTTGTTTTCCAACAATGAAAACCCTATTCACGGGTCGGATTGAATTGGTACGGCGTACTAGTACATAGACAGCAGGAAAATGGAAGCAAACTAAGCAGGGGAAGGATGCCAAATTGGCAATGGTCTCACCACGCGACCGATCTGCGAGAGGGAGATGGGGACCCTGTCCGTGCTCCGACCCTTCCTGCACGAGCGCGGCATCCACGGCGTCAACATCAGAGAGAGGAGGAGGGAGGAGACAGAAGGCACGTACGGTCGTTTCAAGAAGAGGACGACGAGGACGATGGCGAGGAAGTGCTTCGGCGACGGAGGTGGCGACGGCAGCGGCAGCTCGGGGCTGCTCCTGCTGGGAGCCGGTCCCGCTCCCGCCCGCTGGCGCTTCTCTGGAGGCGGCGGCGCACCGCCATCGCCGACCGCCACGAACAGCGCCCTCTTGGGAGCCATTGGCCGGACCCCTCCCCACGCAGCCTGGGCCTGGTCGATCTCTCCCTGCTCCTCTGCTCTCTGGCTCCTCCGCGAGTCCTGGTCGCCGCCGCGTCGGAGGGGGACAGAGGAGCAAAAGCCGAGGCGCGCAGCAGCCAGTAAGCAATACGGAGCAGTTATTTATGGATGGCAACGAGTGGCACGCGGGTAAAACCTGTTAGGACGAGTATATCGGTATCATTTTGTACCCACGGACACGGGTGCGGGTTTGATTTTGTGTCGTGGATAAAAATTTGCAGGCACGAAAAAATCTTACCCGTGCCCGTAAACTCATGAACTCGTCTGGTACGTGGGCCTGCTGCACAAGTATATAAAGGATTTTCTAGTGTTCCTCTTATCCTCCTCCGCTATGTGTCGACGAAATATGGTCGATAGTCTATCTAGGGGTATTCCCAAGGTAGTAAATTATCGACAGACAGGTGCGCAAGCTACGAACGAGATGGTGACGCAAGACAGACATGAGGTTTTATCCAGGTTCGGCCGCCGTGAGGGCGTAATACCTACGTCCTGCATCTGATTGTATTACTGTATGTCAATGAGATTGTGATGTTTTGAGAGAGGTCCCCTGCCTGCCTTATATAGTTTAGGGGCCAGGGTTACAGATCTGGAAACTAATCCTAACCGGTTACAATTGTCATAGGTGGCTGGATAAGGATTTCTATTCTAACCGACTAGGATCTTGCTTGATCTTCAAGTCTGCCTTAATTCCTTGCGCGGGACTCCGAGCACATCGGCTGGGCCGCGCGTCGTCTTCTGGTGGGTCGGACCCCCTGGTGCGGGACGGTCCAAACCTAGCCGTAAGGGTATAGGGGTTAATATTCCCACAGCTAGTCCCCGAGCACCATGTATTATGTTATGACACACCGTTTGATATTCTTCGGCTAACGCGATCTATCTTCATGTTATCTCCAACTGGTTGAAACATTGACCAAGCAAATATACCGAAGATTACGAACGTCAAAAAGAGAGCGATGAGACCACGGTTATAGCAAGAAGATTCCGGTTGTCCAGAAGAATGCATGGTGCTCTAAAGAAAAAGAAAAATATTTCTTTTCCGATCAAGTGTGCCCACTTGTATTTACGAAAAGAAATGTAAATGACCCCTATCTGAGGAATAGTTATGGACAACATGATCGAGAGGCGTAGGGGTCGAATAAAATAAGCACATTCACCGCAAGATTAAGTGTGCCCACTTAGTCCCCGAGCCTGGTAGTAGGTGACGTAGGCGCGTGGTGCCAGGGTCTAAAAAAGTCTTGTTAATTAGATACAACATGCACCATCGGTGCATCGCATCGATGTAGTCCCGAACTTGCTTTGGAAGGAGAGGTATGAGCTTTGTAGCAAGGTCTAAAAGGAAAAAATATCCCAAGCTGTATGTGAGTGCACTTGATCGCATGTAATCGAGACGCCTTGAAGTCCTCGAGCTGTGGTGGGAGAGTGGTCGAGGCGGCCCCCGAGCACAAGTCAAGGAGCGAGCGAGAAGTCCCCAGCTGTAGTCGAGAGTGATCAAGGCGGTCCCCCGAGCATGTGTCGAGGAGCGAGCGACGAAGTCCCCAGCTGTGTGGCTGAGAGTGGTCGAGGCAGTCTCTGAGCACAGGTCGAGGAGCGAGCGACGAAGTCCCCGAGCTGTGGTCGGAGAGTGGTCGAGGCAGTCCCCGAGCACAAGTCAAGAAGCCGAGCGACGAAGTCCCCGAGCTGTGGTCAGAGAATGGTCGAGGCAATCCCCGAGCACAGGTCGAGGAGCGAGCGACGAAGTCTCCGAGCTTGCTGGTAGGCGAGGTATCAGCCTTGTAGCAAGGTCTAAATGAGAAAAAATAAATGCCTCTCAACTGTATGTGAGTACAAATCACATGTAGCCGAGGAGCTACGGATGGTCCAGCTGGACTTGTCGGCGAAAAAAATTGGTGATATTAACCTGTGTGGAGGTGCGACACCACCCGCACAAGGAACGCCGTCAATAAGTTAGCTAGGAGCGCCGTCATTTTCAAAGCCAATCGGCGAAGCCTGCGGTCTCGACCAGCCAGACATCGGCGGGGCCATCTTCTTCAGCTCGATCAATGCCAGAGTCCTCGAGACCCGAGCACGATGTCAGGCCCAGCGAGCAGCAAGCGCCGCGTGCCCCGACCAGCCAATAGTGTAGGCTATAGTTGTAGAAGAAGATGTAGTTGGGTTATTGTAAACTTGGACCTTTTCAGGCAAGCTTGTAATAACGTAACTGTATATCAACATAAGCTTGTTTGTTTTGTAAAAAACGTGTTTAAGCTCAGATATCATGTTGATGTAACTAAGTTAGAACGTGTTGGCGTTCTGTTTAGTTGTATCGGTTTAGTCGACACGTCATCCTGAAAGGTTTGTACGGCCCTGGTTTGACTTGCGGTCAGAGTGCAAGGTGCGTAGCTTGTGCACACGTAGAAACACACAAGTCAAACCAGAGAACACCTGCCGATCACCCGTAGCATAGAGAGCGGATCCCATGCACGCATTGGGGGAAACCGAAGACAGGGCCTGCTCTGAAAACCCGAGAAAGAATGGTGGTCGGTTTTAACTGGTAGAGTTAGAATAACGATAGACTTCGAAGTGACACATTAGAGTAGTCGGAGAAATCATAATAGCTTTATTGAAATAAATCAAAAGTACAAGAGGGATACATATCTTAGTAGCTAAGCATAGAAACACCTAAGCCTGTCGATGTGCCTCGACTGAGTGGATGATGACCTCCTGGGCCTTGAGCTCTGGGATCTCCAAGTGCTTGGCGTCGAGCATGGTCTCGGTCATGCGAATAGAGAGGTCGTGAGCCTCTGCTATTTTGAAGCTGTCATCCTCGCATGTGCAAGCTACGTATACGTTGCCCCTGAGAGTTAGAACCCCCTTCTCAGTAGGCATCTTGAGGACCAAATACCTGTAGTGAGGTATAGCCATGAACTTGGTGAGCGCTGGTCGGCCAAGGATAGCATGGTAGGTGCCTTCAAAGTCAACGACCACGAAGTTGACGTAGTCGGCGCGGAAGTGGCCTGGGTACCAAATTGCACAGGTAGTGTGATCTGCCCGAGAGGTGTGGAGCTCTGTCTGGGGAGAACACCCCAGAACTGTGCCTCGTATGGCTTAAGATTAGCCCGGGTTATCTTCAAGGCTGGCAAACTGTTCTTGAACAGTATATCGATGGAACTGCCGCCGTCAATCAGCACTCTATCGAACTGAACCTTGTTGATACAAGGATCGAGAACCAGGAGGAAGCATACAGCTCGGTATTGCAGCCCATTGGTCCTTTCTGCTGAAGGAGATCTCGCGGTGAGACCAAGGAGGGAGCCGCGGATCGGCGATGAGGTTGTCGGCATTGGCCACGTTCAAGCAAGCGCGGGCGAGCAGCTTGCGCTCTCGTTTGGTCTCGATGGACACTTTGCCCCCAATGATGGTGTGGACGCGGTCGGTTGGCTTGACGTACTTGTGATGGGGATCTGTGTCTTCATCATCGTTATCCTCGCTACGCTGCTCCCCTGCGTCGTTAGGCTTATCGGATTTATCCAGAGCCTGTTGGCGCGAGTAGATGGATTTGAGAACACGGCAATTCTCCATGGTATGGTTTGACTTGGGATGGAGCTAGCAGGGTCCTTTCAGTGCTTTGGCGTAGTCTTCTTCGTAGTTGCGATGTCCGCCACCTTTTTTAACAATGTTGACTTCGTTGTCATCTTCCCGAGCACGCTTGCCCCTGTAATCGTCACAGCGATTACGCCGCTGATTACGCTGGTCGTGGTGGTCGCGAAAATCGTTGCGCTGGTTGCGGTGATCAAAATTGTGGTTCCGACCACGGTTGCCGTGGTAGTCATCGCGGTGTGGGGGTGGTCAAAGCGTGGAACCCTTGCTGCTTCTTCGATGATTATCTTTTTAGCATCATCAGCGTCCGCATATTTTTTAGCAGTAGCTAGGAGCGCTGTGACTGATTCAGGTCTTTTGCAGAGGAGCTTGTCCCTTAGGGCATCATGGAAGCGAAGACCAGTGATGAAAGCTTCGATTGCCTCGTTGTCGGAGATTGATGGGACCTTGACACGCATCTCCGAGAAGCGTCGGACATACTCGCGCAGTGGCTCATCTTTATGATCTCGAATCCGCTGTAGATCATATTTGTTGCTGGGTTGTTCGCAAGTAGCAATGCAGTTGTCGATGAATGCTTGCTTGAGCTCTTGCCAATAATCAAAGTAGTTTGCCGGCAAGCTGACCAGCCATTGGTGGCCTGCATGGCCGATGGCGACTAGGAAGTAATTAGACATGACGTGCTCGTCAGCCATGGCTGATCTGCACGTGGTTTCGTAGAGCATGACCCATAACTCTAGGTTCTCCTTGCCGTCGTACTTCTGGAGTTTTTTGAGCTTAAAGTTTTTTGGCCACACGACTTGGTGAAGGTGAGGAGTAAACTGCTTCAAACCCAGAGGGCTATGGGTAGTATCATATTCCATACGGCGATAGCTTTCGTGGGATGCACGATCGTTGGCTCTTTGGTTAATGCGATCGCGCATATCGCGTTCTCCGAGGGAATGGCGGAGATCGTTATTGCCATCACGGTGATCCCGATTGCCACCCTGGTTGACCCCACGATCGCGGTTATCACGGCGATTGTCGCGGTTGTCTCGTCGATTATCCCAGTTGTTGCGGCGGTTGTCGTCCCGGTAGTCGCGGCGGTTGTCGTCCCGACCACCGTCATGACCACCGTTTCTACCTTGACGGTTGTCTGGTGGGTCATTGCTGCGCGAGCCACGTTGGTTGGGTGGCTATGGGTGACTTGAGTACTGACAACTGCGGCTTGATTCGACTGAGACGGATGGAGCCCGGGCTTGGTTTGCAATCTCTGCGGTCTGGGCCATGGCAGCCGTCAGGTAGGCTTGCATGTCATCACGAATTGCCTGGATTTCCGGGGTATTGGGTAGTCGTTGCATTGTCGCCATAGCAACAACTATGTTGGCGCTTGG